TTTTATTTTTGTATGTCCTTTTGTTTTGTTAAATAAATAAATATGAAATATTTTATAACAACAACTATAATAATAATAATAATAATAATAATAATAAATACATTTAATAATGTTACAAAAAAAACATTTTTTTAAAATTAATATCAGTTCTTTATAGCATCTTTGCATTAAAAAGATGCATCTTTAAAAACAAGCCCTATCACAAAAACTAGAATTAATTTTGGCAGCTCTTTCAGGCTTGGAAGCATTAAGCCAAAGTTTCACTCCCCAGAGAGGGAGAGAGAGAACAGGATAAAACTCTAGATGACTCCATTAAAGAAAAAACTCAGGAAATGAAAACAGAAATATGATAGCTTCCTGTTTTTCATTGGGACTTGGAGCATTCTCTTTTTGGGGTATAATTACTACAATGAGATCAATGTGGTATAGTCCAAAACCTTAGACACACACCACACACACCCTCATTTTGTAGTCTAATCCAGGTTTCTCTGGCATGCTGCTGCTGGCTGACATTCCAGTGGCAATTTTTGTCTCTCTGGATCACAGTGATCTAGATTCACATTGATTATGGAATTCCGGTAAAGTCCAGATATCAGCGGGAGAATTGGACACACTACACAAAACAGTTCCCCAACAGGCATTACAAAAGGGTTTCTCTCTCTTCTCTCATCTTTTTCTTCTCTTTTCACTTTACTCTTTAGCTATGCGAACATTTCTGTGATCAATTATGTAGCTAGTTATTTAACTTAAAGATCCATTGGCTATCAGTGAATTTATTTAAACATCAACATATAAAATTTCAGTGAAGAGACTTCCAGAGCAGACTGATCTATTTTCCTGATAAAACAGGAGGGGATTTAAGAGTATCCACACACACTGTTCCCTTATTTGTCCATCACACACATGCCTTGTACACTTTGTTTTGCTAACACATTGACTCTGTGGTCTTGACTCATTATCTCATTAGCAGAAGCTGGAAAGAATCATAATTACTGTGGCTGCAGGGTTATTTACCACAGTGTCTCTTCTGCCCTCTGGTGGTAATTTTAGGCACCACAAAACACAAGCAAGTGTTTGGACATTTGTTATTCTATTTCACAGAAAACAACAGATTATATGTAAAAAAATAAATAAATAAAGTAAGTTAATATATATCTTTAAAATACTCAAATGAAGAGAGACTACGGGAGAAATAGGGCTATGATTAATGCAAAGAAGGTAATTTCATGCGTAGCGGCAATAATAGAAAAACAAGACATACAAGAAACAACAAAGCAAAACACCTTAGATATACAAACAATTACAGAGCGGTTGCACACATTTCTGTGAATGCTGTATGTGCATAAGTTCTTTAATGGCAAAGCATAAAAGTTGTGATATTGGAGAATGAACTGTAGACTGGCTAGATATGAACTACTGTGTCAAGAAGAGCATGTATTTGGTATTTGTCTCCCCCTAGCGACTGATATGAGGTATTGCATTATAAAAATACTACACTTGTCAACGCACTCTCATCTACTCATTAGAAAGTTTTATACAGCGTTTAATTCCGCAAACTAATCTGTTTTCATTTCAGTAACGTGGTAATTTGTATGACACTGACGTGATCTCAATATGTCGACATACTTGATGTTGAATAAAACAGCGTTTTCTAGAAAACAGAGTCTAGAGCAGAGCTTCCCAAACTTCAGAGGGGTAAGGCCCCCAAAAAACATAGCAAAAGCTCCACGACCCCCCCCCCCCTGTAAAAAAAAAAACCGCTACGGCCCACCGGGGGGCCGCGGCCCACAGTTTGGGAAGCACTGGTCTAGAGCCTTCATCTTCATTTCCCCATAAACAAAACATCTCCACTCCAATATAGCATGTATGACACCCATATGTACCAGCTGCGCTAGCCTAGGCCTTTATCTATTAGACTAATTCATTGTTCATCCATTGTAGGCCTAGATTATGCATTTATTTAACATATCTATGTTTTAAGTCAAAATAAGAAGTATTCTGGTATTGTCACATTTTATAGAGTGTATAAAGTTTAGTTGACCTGCAGGATTATGTGTGGGCTACTTACGGTTACTTCAGAGAACTCAGACGTACGACGGTTATCACGTAGCCTACGTTAAGGTGTTTTTGAGTTGCCAGCATTGTGCCTGTTTCACTGGGCTGATCCAGATGGATTGTTCCTGCAGTAAAAATACTGCTAATCGACATGTTAACTGAAGAGCAATGAGATGAGATGATCGTGTTCGGTTAAAATGCTCACGGTCTTGCCCAAGAAACTCTAGTGTATTGAGAAGCTGTTAAGATCCGAGACTAAAGCTTCAGATCGAGCACAATTACTGGCTCACTATCGCTTTTCAATAACGCTCATGCTAGTTTTCTTCTGACCGCTCTTATCTGACATTATTTGTCTACTACATGTTTTCTGACTGCAAGTGACGACAACCATCTGTCAAAACAACATGTAGGTATTTATCTCTAATACATGTCTCCATCATTGCACATGGATTTCAATTCGCATTCGTTTTCTTTAAGGACGGTTCTTGTTTGAAGTTGTAAGAGGCCGCGGTCGAAATGGAGTTTTGAATCGAGACAAACTAAGATAGACGACAACACACTCTGATTATTGATTTGTCTGTAAAGATCAGACCAGAAACAGACAGTTGAACTTACATTTTTGCCATTAAGAACTTCAAATGAGTAGGCCTATTTATAATTAGGAAATGTTCAGGAACTTTGTGCGACGTGGAAAAACTTCACCGTGAAAAACTTAATTGTGAAAATCCATTTTGATGATTTGTTCATCTCTAACGGTTAAAATGCTTTCATTGTTATTCTATAACAACATCTTTGTTTCGACTTATCTACCTTTTCACAAAAATAATTTCTGTAATTTCTATTTCTATTATGATTCATAGTTTCAGTAATTAGATTTAAAGTGACCGAATAAATACTCAAAATAAATTGATTTAGTATTTTACAGTAAATGTTGATGGAGATTTATCATATAGCCTAGCAATAAAGGTATAGTTTCACCCAAACAGTTTTCAAAAAAGGATGTTTAGATAAATGTCTCAGTGCTTTTCACATACAAGGAATGTCAATAATGGTCCAGTGTTGTTTTGGACCCCACTGACTTCTATGGTCAAAAACAGATGAAGCATTCCTCAAAATCGTCTTTAGTGTTTAGCAGAAGAAAGAACGTCATACATGTTTGGAACGACGTGAAGTTGAGTAAATTATGATAGAATTTTATTTACGAACAGACTTTACGTTTGCTTAGGATCATGAAGTAGATTTAAAATGATAATATGCCGTTCAAATAAATATATAGAACGCAAGGCGAGAAAAGTGTTAATTATGGGCGAGAAGAGTGTTCCTGTTGTGTAGCTGTCCACGGTGCTGAATGGCGCCTCTTTCAATGAGTGCGATTCTGTTAATGACTTAAAACGCAGAACATTTTAGTGTGAGAATTTCTGGGACATCCAGAGTCTGTAGACGTCCATGTAGGTTTAGAACACGATTTAGTCTGTCTGTATAGCTACCTCAAATAGCCGAATGATCTTTCAAATGTAAATAGACCAGCATAATTTCTTGGCGCAACTCTTCCGTGCACACTTCACCCATACAGTAACTAACACACTTGCCCATGAAACAGCTTTCTCCGTTCTAGGTCATATTTTCTAAAGAAATCTGAAAACTTTGTATTGTGGCACTTTTATAATGAACTAGGCTACTTTTTGTAAGTGGCTTTGGAAGAAAGCGCCTAACGCCATGCTAAATAGATAAACACACATTTTTAGTTTATACACATTACGAATTTTTACAGAGCCGAGTTATGATTCTTGACTTCTGGTATTTGTTTCAATATGATGATGTAGGCATCTGTCCAGGTAAAAAGGCCACTGAGCTGGGAGTCATGCCACGCCACATTTGACCACCAGAGGTCGCAGTCAAAAACAAAAAGAAAAATATCCAGTTGTGAAAGCTGAATAAATATATAAACGCAAGAAGCAAAGGTGTATTAGACACATTCTACAATGTAAGCATGTATTTATGACCAAAGACAAACGCACACATAAGAACCCTATACATTTCCTATAACTTAGTAGGCCTATATGCTAAAGGGTAAAGATTGTGTTTGCTCTTTATTTCTATTTTTTATTAGACGCTTTTATCCATTGTGGCTTACATGTATGGGAATAATACACGTAGAAGCGATTAATCCATATCGTGATTAATTAATACCATATAAGTGTAACAGAGTTCAGAGTACATTTGCATTTAAAAGCAAAAAGGATACTTAGCTAGATAAGTTCTCCAAGAAGAAGCTTGCTTCTGATCGTTTTTTTTTTTTTTTGCAATAGATGTTTGCTGTTTGCTTGAAGTACACATGGCGTTAACATGCACCGTCCTATTTGTGTGTAGTGTTTTGATTTTAAAAAGTGCAGTTGCAAATTGTTATGCTCCATTCACAGCTCTTTACACACTGACAGACTAACACAAATGCAAATACTGGAGAAATCCTCTTTAACTGAGAGGAATTTAGAAGACTTTTATTTTTTTTAATAACCATCCCTACAGGCAGCAATAATAGGTATACGAATGAATGTGCATACACATCCTTTTCAAACCCATACTTAATTAAACGTTGTTTTAAATAGCGTATTTTAAGGCTTATTTGAGCATTTTCTCTCCACTTGCAAAATGATAAAGGAATTTGGTTTTTATTTCCCGAGTAACTTAATTCTCACGCTCTTTGTGGCATCAAAAGGAATCTATTTGTGATGTAAAAATTAGGTATCTTGTCTTTTTATTATTGTTTTTAGAACCATATATGTAGACAGCGAACTCCTCAAGTAAATGCCCCAGAACGCCACACACTCACTCACACAAATGAAAAAAAGTTTGGATTTCTGTATACCTCTGGCAACCCGGGCAGAGAGTTTTCATGCTGAGGCTTTGGGGAGGGGGAGGCGGGGTGCTTCTTTGTTAGCTCGGCCCTCTCCAACTCGTCATTAGTGCTGATTACCGTTGACCAATTTGACAACCTTATTGACTGCTAAAAAGACTTTTTCATCGTCCCACCTTGCACTCCCCAGCGCTCAAAAGAAACGGAAATTTTCCACCATTCTCTATCCAGGTTTAAATAAAGCCGTGCTCCTTTCCCTTCCCTTGCTTTTGCTCCTATTTTCTCCTTTTTTCTAGGAAGGTACACTTGGTTTGGCCCCGCCGTTGTTCAGACTGAAAGAAGATTGAAAAATACAGCTTGTGCTTTTTATTGGGAGCGTTAATGAATAGCGCGGGTTAAACCCAGGTGCGCGCCGTGAACCCCTCAAGCAGTTGGGAAACAGAGGCGCTGTGTTTTTGCGCCTGCTCCTTCACTCATTTGCGACATAAACACCTTAAATAGATTTGAAGGTTAAGAATAGCGTGGCCGTGCTTTTAAAATATTATGAAATATTTACAAACATGTATTCTTCCAAATAAAAATAAAAATTTGGAAGGATTTAAAAACCTTTTATCGTTCTCTGGCACTTGACAAAGAAGAAAAATCTCTCCGAGTAATGAGAAAAAAAATTAAGCACTAAGTTGTGATGATTATAGTCTAACAATCGATTTATGCTGATCTTAATGCCACAAGGTATTAACCCACTAGATTAACCACGTGTGAATTATAGTCATGTTGTGAATTACATAGCCTATTAAATAAATATAAACAATTTTGAATCGAAAGAAAATTATAGTAAAATGAAAAACAATAAAAAAGTATTAATTTATCATCCACCTTTGACAAATGAATTTTCTGCAGCTTGCTTGGGCCACTAGAAGGTTCTATTTAAACAGGAGATCACAGCTTGGGTTGTGTTGACATCCGGGAGAGCGTCTCGGCCTTTCGCTGACCCTGCGCTGTCAGAGCGCATTACACCACGCGAAGCATTTTAGCCAATTACTGCTCGAGTGTGAGAGAGATTGAGCTGGCAGAGAGGCATTAAAACATGCAACATATTTGATCCCCGTCTGTTCTAAATCTGTTCTGCAGGATATAACATTCACATTTTTTTTTTTACTTTCGGGTAGACACATTAAATATAATCATGAAATAAAACATTGCATGGCTCAATTTTACACCGGAAACACTGGAATAAATGTCGCAAAGAAAATACCGTTGTGACTTTGCGATCGTTACTTAATTTTATTTTTAATTTTTTTTAAATCATGGTTATTTTTTCCAGAAATTTCACGACGCGCAGCATTACGCACAACAAAAATGGTAATAAAAAAGCACACAAATAAAGGGCCTAAGGGCCGATGATATTTTAAATAAGTAAATAAACATCGTTTATATATTAAAAAAGACAAGTGAACATTAAAACATTATTCAGTCTTTTGATGATAAAGCACGCAAACATACAACAATAGGTTCGGTCCTCAGAAGATTTTTTCGAAAACTGTCTTCATGAGAAGCACTGCGCATTTTGTTGATCACATCAACGAATGGAAAATGAAATTGTGACGCTTTTTTCCATCCTTCATTTTAGCCTCTCTCTGGGCCGGTTGCAGGCACTAAAGTTTTGTTGTTGTTAGATTGTCTCTTACAGTTCTCCTGTTTGCTCTTTTGAAGCCTGTCACGTTAGATGTCACATTCACTGTCGCTGGAGGTGATGGAGATGGCGGAGGTGGCGGCCTTGCTCGAGAGACTGACTTCTGGGCTTGAGGCGGGACCCAGGCGGTCCACTGTGGTGTCATCATCCCCCAGCGATCGGACCGAGTCACCGGACAGAACCTGCTGCTGTAGCCTGCAGGGGTGAAAAGAGACAAAATGTCAACGAGGATACATCGACATTCACAGCTTACAGTGGAGACAGTGGATATAAAAGAAATGTCCTCATCTCTCTGATGCATAAATTACTGAAATTTCTGGTTAAGTTAATCAGTCTTGGATTAAGATTTTGTCAAACTATATTTATTAAACACACCATTTACACCTCTTATTCGAGTATGGGAAACTACAAAAATCGTTTGACGATGATATGCTGTTAACGCCGTCAAAAACATTTGAGGTTGTAAGTGCATTTGCATGAGCTAAAATCAAATGGTGACTGTTTACATATACAATATACACAATTATTACATAATTTAAAGCATGCTGTCAATTTAACTATCTGTTTAAGCGGGTTTTTTAAGCTTCCTAACCCAGAGAAAATATATTTAGGCTATATTTGTTATTATATCGATTATGTAGTATTTTTATAATCATAAATCATCCCAGCATGAAACCTCATGCATCAGCAGAGATATGTAAAATAATTAGTACATTTATGTGAACAAAAGGAGCTTTGCCATCAACTAATCGATTTGGACATTAATTTTAAGTTAAATTACGCAAGAAAGTCCAAAGATTTTTTAAAGATAATAATAAATAAAGATAATGACAGTATAAATAATAAAAGGAAACATGATATGCACATGATTAACGCCTTTATGCAGTTCAGTGGAGATCTCTATATACCTGTTCTTGGCCGCTGCCGCTCGGTCTCTCTGCCTCCGGTTTTTAAACCAGTTGCCCACTTGTGTGGGTGTGAGTCCAGTCGCCTGCGCCAGCTCTCTTTTTTTGCTCGGGTTCGGGTAAGGGTCCTGCAGGTACCACTCTCTCAAGAGATGCCGCGTCCTCTCCTTGAAGCAGTGCGTTTTCTGTTCGCCGTCCCATATCGTCCGAGGCAGTGGAAACTTCTTTCGGACGCGGTACTTGTCCACGGGTCCTAAGGGACGCCCACGAAGTTTCTCAGCCTCCTGGTAGTGCGCCTCGAGCCAGAGCGCCTGCAGCTTAGCGTGTGAGTCCTTTGTGAATTTGTGGTTCTCTAGTACGTGGTAGAGCTCGCGGAAGTTTCCCGCGTGAAAGGCCACGACCGCCCGCGCGCGCAGGACAGACTCGTTCTTCCCGAGGACTTCGCAGGCGGACGGCGCCACCGGGAGCGACCAGAGGAAGCGGCCGAGTCCCTCCACGTCGCCGCTCTCCTCGAGCCGTGTGAGTCCTTGGTGAATTTGTGGTTCTCTAGTATTTGGTAGAGCTCGCGGAAGTTACCCCCGTGAAAGGCCACGACCGCGCGCGCGCGCAGGACAGACTCGTTCTTCCCGAGGACTTCGCAGGCGGACGGCGCCACCGGGAGTGACCAGAGGAAGCGGCCGAGCCTCTCCACGTCGCCGCTCTCCTCGAGCGTCTCGCAGACCCCCGCGACCTGCTGGGGGCTGAAATTCAAGATGGGCAGCTGGAACATGGAGACTGCAATCTCTCTCTTCTTTTGGTCCTCCTGTCTGGTGTTGCTCCTCGACTGTCTCGCCCGTCTTTTTGTTCAGCGAGTCTGTCAGAAAACGGATAAAGTTAACAGCCGTGTCACAAAACGAGCTGAGGAGCGATGCCGTGCGGCAGGCACAAGCAGCCTGAACGGCAAAATCTTTTCTTTGATTGAGTGTGAGCATAAAAAACTGGAAGCAAGGTGTTTTCTGAGGAGCAAAATAAAAGAACATTTAGCCCCTTGCTGCCGATATGCTATTGGACTTGTCAGATTGGCTGCCTGGTTGCCATGGACACACGTCAATCACTGTCAGTTTTGCCAATCACGCGTGAAGCAGCACCAGATTTCAGCACCACCCAGAGCGCAACAGCGCCTTTCACTGAAAACGTCAAAGCGTCATTTTGACCTTTACGTTTGTGCTCAGAGACGCTGAATGTAATGTTGTCATTTGCTAGAAATCCGGAAGCAACCCCCTCTGAGTCGTCGATAAAACGATAGGAAAGAGTGTCTGTTAAAATACAGAACGCACTGAAAGACATTAGTAAGACTTTCTATGAAAAGCATATGCAGTATAAATAATTACAAATGATTGCCTATTCAAAAGTTACACCTTTGAAAGATGTTTTAAAAACTAAAAATAAAAAATAAAAAACATGATTTATGTTTCAAAAACGTGCCTCCAAATGAAGCTATAACATTTCTGTGACGCATGTTAAGGACCTCAGAAATAAAGTGCGAAAAACGTGATCACTGTATCACTATAGACTTTTTAAAAGAACTTTAATGAAGAAAATGCTCTCATTAAAAAGTAAAACAAAAATGAAAATGCCATGCGACATGCAATACTATTCTACACAAATAAATACATTAAAACAAAAATTTTACTACCAGTAGGCTATAAACTGTCAAAAATTACAACATGCACATTTCGTCAGGAAGAAGAAAAAAAAACTATCAGGATGTAGACACAAATGTGCTGAAAATGTCTGAAATCTTGTCATGCATGAAATACCTATAAGGATGAATTGGCACCATGGTTAACACATCTTAACCTAAACCTTGCAAATGATGCGTATATAATATGGATATGATATCCTGGTAAGTAGGTCCAGTTTTCAGTACACCTGTCCTCTGTTTTAAAATCACGCAGCAGTTCGTCTTGTGCACGCTTAAATGATAGGTGGTTGGAAGTGTCCTGTCCCATTAAGGCATGCCTCGTTTCAAAGGTAATGTTCAGTCTGACGGAAGGGCCTGATATTATTTTCACAGATGCACAAGTTCAACTAAAAGTGCTTTTTGCATGTTTTATATGAAGGAGGATCCAGGCAGGTTCAGGAACTTGTTCTTCTTTTGTGTCAGCAATAGGGAGCTGTTGTCATGATGCGCTTCGGAATCAGAATGCCCATAGGAAGGATTATAATACACCTCATCTATTAATAAAAAAATATACATGCATGCGTTTAACGTGTTTAAACTGGCATCCTGAACTCATATTGTGTATGACATGGAAATCAATGCCAATGAACAAAATGTTATTATATAATAACTTTGTCTTCATGCAATGACTTATCTTTTTTTGCAATGTAAAGCGATTGAGCACAGTCACATTAGAATGACAGATTGTCAAAAATAGACCACACAAAGATATCCAGCCTATTTTAATCCAGGCGGAGGATTTTAGAGTGTTTGGCAACAGTGTTAATCAATTATCCATAGGCTCGAGCAGGTTAACGCCATACAGTAATGGCGTGACAGTTGGCCATAATGAGAGGTAGACGCAGTAAAACGATTAAAGCGACAATTTAATCTATCTCATTACAGTTTTTAACGCCGACCACTAAAATAACTAAAAACAAAGGATTTGCGACCCCATGCATATGCGCCATGGAGACAGGATTTGGGAAAACCATTGGATGAGCAGCAGTGCTGAAATATTCAGAGTTCTGTGAATATTTCATACACTATGACATACTGTAACCTCAACATAGGGAATATTTTTCTACTAAGTCACCCAGTAAATAATGCATGGCTTTTGATATCATTCCAAGTCTCTTGTTAATAAAAAATGACTTTAAAAACATGGACTTTGTAAGGGAGGTTGTGTTGTCCAACAATCCATTACTCTTAAAATAACCGTCATTTCACATTGTCAAATTGTTTTCAAACAACTATGGTCCCTGCTTAAAAACAAAATGAGACATTTAGGCATGGTAGTTATCGCGGAAATAAAGTGAGGAGATTCGTTCGTTCCGCTCCTCGCTTTTACACTGCGTCATGGCAAAGCGCGAGCCCGGGATGGAGCACGCACGAGCTGAATAATAAGGATTGCACACATAATGTAACGCCTGACACCGCTATCCCTGAACGGCTGAGAGAGAGAAAGAGAGAGAGTAAAGATAAGGAGTGACACTCATACAAAGAGTTCTGTTATCTGCTTGTTCTCTGATACAACATACAGACACACAAACCAGGCTTGATAACCCATAAATCCTTTAAATTCTTCATTTTAGCCTCCTCCGAAATAAAGTTAGCATAACTTTGCATTCACCTATAAAATAGTGACATTTCTGCATTTAGCTGATGCTTTTATCCAAAGTGACTTTCAAGGTACGTTACATTTAAGATATACGTGTGTTCCCTAAGAATAAAACCTATGGCCTTGGTGTTGCTAGCGCCATGTTCTACTATTTAGATACAGGAATATTTAAAAACAATAATATAACATGAATAACATAAAATACACAACATATAAAACATAAACATTAATGATATCATCAATGATATTAATGATAATGTCAGCGCATTAGTGACAAGTGAAGAAGCTTGTCTATACAGATGTCAGAGTGAAGATGAAAGGTAGCAAGTGTTTACACGTGCAGTTTAACCATCCCTGTGAAAATCTTTTTTTTTTTTTAATAAGTACTTGAGGCACTAGTTCCTCAGATTGTCCTCAGAATCTTCTGGAAAACCTCTAGGTACACTTTAGGGCAGTTCTCAGAGATACGTACAAACCTGAACCCAAAAGGTCCCTGCAAGAACTCTAAATACAGTTCCTCCTCTAACCCCTTCACAAGAGAAAGACTTTGAAAATATATATGTGACCCTGGACCACAAAACCAGTCATAAGGGTCAATTCTTTTGATAAACTGAGATCATCTGAAAGCTGAATAAATAAGCTTTCCATTGATGTATGGTTTGTTAGGATATAGGACAATATTTGGTCAAGATACAACTATTTGAAAATGTGCAACAAAATCTAAATGTTGAGAAAATCACCTTTAAAGTTGTCCAAATGTAGTCCTTAGCAATGCATATTACTAATCAAAAATTCAGTTTTGATATATTTACGGTAGGAAATTGACAAAATATCTTCATGGAACATGATCTTTAATTAATATCCAAATGATTTTTGGCATAGAAGAAAAATCGATAATTTTGACCCATATAATGTATTTTTGGCTATTGCTACAAATATACCGTGCTACTTATGACTGGTTTTGTGGTCCAGAGTCACATATAGATGAAGTTACTTGAATAAGCAACAGGTTAGTGATTCAGTCTGGGCAACTGCATATAGGCCTATTGCTTTTAGTATCTTTTCATTTTTACAGTGGCATAAGATATAACCATGATTTACTTATTTTCATGCATTACACATAATACATCATTGTCTGTGTTATGGATTCTAATTTATAAATTTTAACAATGGCAAGAGATTATTGCATTTTATAACTGTATCTTAAACAGTTAGAGCCCATTGCAGTGCAAATTGAAACGCCGTTCTTCATTCAAGTTGCATCAGCTCTGGACCTCTATTGGATTCAAACACATACTTTGCTGTTCAGTAGTTTGGGGTCAGTAAGATATTTTTTAAAATAATACTTTTATTCAGCAAGAATGCATTATGTTGATCTAAAGTGACAGTAAAGAAATTTATAATCTTGCAAAATATTTCCATTTCAAATAAATGCTGTTCTTTTTTAACTTTCTATTCATCAAAGAATCCTGAAGAAATTAATCATGGTTTCCTCAAAAATATTAAGCAGCACAACCATTTCAATAATGCTTTAAAAGAAATTAATACTTTTATTCAGCAAGGTGACAGGAAAGACATTTGCATTGTTTTTTTTTTTTTAAGTATTTTTTTGATTATAATAAAAAATGTTTTTTGAGCAGCAAATCAGCATATTAGAATGATTTCTGAAGGATCATGTGACACTGCAGTAATGGCTACTGAAAATTCAGCTTTGCATCACAGGAATAAATTACATTTTAGTACATGGTACATGTGTTATTACTGCCACCATTCTGCATACCAGAGGCCTTTTGAAAGCATGTTCTCGCTGTCAAATAGTGGTCTGCTTTAGACAGAAAGCACACACACACACATTAGAGAAATGCCATCTGCTTTGTTGTCCTCTCAGCTGGTTGAGGCCGAACGCTGGATGACTCCTATAGGCCAGGGATTTACGTTCTAATTAAGATATCATGTCTGGCAGAGCTGGAGTGGCTTGCTAATACTCCACTGGCCCAGATAGTAGCAAACGAATGAGGGATTCAATTAAATAAATTCTTTGCTTGCTTTAGTACATAGACAAACCAGATGAGCTACAGACCTCTGCGAGTGTGTGGGCGTGTCCTCATGACAGATCGGTGTCCAGCCATGGCATTGTCCCGTTTGGATGTAATCTGGGATTTGTGGTAACAGAGAAGACCTCTTATCCTATGACCATTCTGGCTTATCCTGCTCCCTCTCTCTCTCTCTCTGTTATCCAGCAGCAGGACAGGGATAACACAACAGGATCCCTCAGACATCCGGTTTATTTTTTTTATCATTCAGTTTGTAATTTTTTAACAGTCTTATGCCATAAGATATATTGCGACTACATAATTGCAAAATAATATAGACATGTGACTACATGTACACACGCCCAAAAGGCAGGCACCTTCATGTGCGCAAATGTATTCAGTCTGGGTACAAAAAAGTGTCACAAACAATGCACAAC